TGGGGACCGTCCCGCCCGTCCCCCCGCCCCGGGCCGGGCAGGGAGCGGCCACCGGGCCCGGGAGCGCCGCCCCTGCCCCCCCCCCCAGCCCCCCCCCCCCCCCCCCCCCAACCTCCCTCCCTGCACGCGCACACGGCACCGGGCCCGCCACCGGCTGCCGGCAGCGGCACCGGCAGCGCCCGCCCCGGGCCCGCCCCGCCCCGCCCGGTACCGTCCTTCCCCCCCCCCCCCCAACCCCGGCTGCCGCAGCGCCCCTGGCACCCCCCCGGCTTTGCAGCACCGGAGCCCCGGCCGGGGTCACACCCCCCCCCCCCCCCCCCCGTGTGGGTGCCCCCAGCATCCAGCCCCCCGCCGGGACTGGAGCGCAGCAGCCGGTACCCGACCCCCCCCAGTGCAGCACAGCACCACGGGTACCGGGTACCCCCAGTCGGTGCTGGACCCCCCCCTCCCGTACATCAGGCACCAGCACAGGACCTTGCGTCGCCCCCCCCTCCCCAAGCCCCCAGCTGGTTCATGGCTCTATAACCGGTCCCTGGCACTGGAGCCCCCACCCGGGTCCAGGGTCCCCCTCCAGCACTGGAGCCCTTCCAGGAACTGGAGCTTCCACCCCGGTACCAGGCCCCCAATTGGTAACTGAGTCCCCAGCCAGCACCAAGACCCCCAGCCCTTTGCAGAGCCCCCCCAGTAGGACTGAAGCCCCCACTGAGTACCGAGCCCCCCCCTCCTCGGTGTGGAGACCCTCAGTGGGCCTGGGTCCCCAACTGGTGCCAGTGTTGGCTGTGGGACCCATGCCCTGGATGGAGCCAGGGGTCCTGGGGCAGGATGCTGAACTGCGGGTGCTGGCACACATTGCTGGTCAATGCTGGACCATCACCCATGGGGGGGTGCTGTCACCCAGAAGGTGCTGTCGGGTCACCCCCAGCCATAACCCTCAGGAAATACCAGAACAAGGACCCCTCCTCTTGGGTTGCCCTCATTTTGAGGGGATGCTGCAAGGCCACGTTCCACACCTGAGGGTAACAGAACAATCTGGGGGCAAGAAAAGCCCCAATCAACTCCTGTTTACTGCAGCTGTGGGATGGAGGGGGGTACAGCACCACGGGAGGGTGACCAAAGCTATCAGCAGGCACAGGCTCCAGAGCCCCACAAAAGACAAAGCCCAAGTCCTAGGCTGCTTTTAGGTACCCCAAAACCTCCTCTTGGCAAGAGGAGCCAGCCCTGCTCTGAGGTCAAGAGCCTCCTCCCAGCTGCTCTCCAGTTTCTCCCCATTGCTCTTTACTGGGAGCCATTCCACACACAGACACCCCTGTGCTGGGTACAAGAGCTTCCCCGAGCCTGCTGAGCACATGGCCCAGGGTACACCACGGATGGGGGATGCTACAGGACCAGAGCCAGTGCTGGTCCACACCTGATGGCCATGGTCCCCCAGATGTCCTTTCCAGCATCACCCAGCCTCTGGCGCTGGGCACTGAGGTAGCCGTGCTTGGGCCACCAGGTAAGTTTGACCCCATGGAGCAGAGCAAGAGCTCAGCTGCTGTTTTATTTCAAAGGTTAAAAGTCTGGTAGAAAAACAGAAATCCCCACGGAATTCAGTACCAGTTACAGACATGCACCAACACCCCAGAGCCCGGCAAGAACTCATCTCACCCCCACGGCCTCTTGTCCTCTGCTTGCACCTCCAAGGACCAGATGAGAGGAAGAACAGGAACTGCCCTCAATCTGGAAGGGCAAAGACCATGTGCCTGATGAAGAGATACTTTCAGAGAAGACCAGCTTGAAGCTGCCCATTGAAACCATCACATCACCCATCAGTTCCCACCTGAAGAGCTGCCCAGGCTGTCTGTGGTGCCTGGAGACCACCTCACTCTGGCTCACAGCAGTACCTCCTGATCCTTGTTAAATCCCTTTCCAGCCACTTTCCAGCTCCCACCAAGGGCGCAGAGACCAGCCAGGAGGTGGTTTTAGCTGGTCCAGCTGCCAAAACAGGTCTCAAATATGGGGAAAGAGCCCCTCTTGGTGTCAGCGCTGCAGTTCCGGCAGTTCTTGTCCTCTTTGCCTGCCCAGGCAAGCTCTGACTTCTGCTTCAGGACTGAGCAGAGCTGAGACTCATACCCACTGTCCCTCACATTGACATGAGCCCTCTGGAGCAAATCCCGGTCCGCAGGGTGAATCCTGCCCCCCTGGACACCCGTTAGCGTGGAGAGCAGGGCCACATCCCAGTCTGACTGCAGAGAACTGCTGCTGAAGACATGCTCAGCCGGAGCGTTCCATGGAGGAGGCTGAAGGAGGCCAGGGCATGGACCCTGCTCTTCGCCATGGCCCGGGAGGTCTGGTGCTCTTTTCTCTGCTGCTCTGACACCGAGTGAGCAGCAACAGCCAGCTTTGGCCCCAAGCAGTTTTGGAGAAGGCAAGGGGCAGCCGGTCTGGCTCCTTGTGCTCTCCACATCAGGGCTGAGCACATTTCTGGGTGTGATTTCATTCTCCCCTCGGAGCTGCTCCCCTTTGGAGCTCACGTTCACCCTGCTCCAGCCACACTCACCAACAGCGCGGGCTGCAGCAGCCTCTGCGGGATCAAAACCCCCAGAGGCAGCTTCAAGGTGTGATGCAGGGTCCCCAGGGTCCCTGCACAGGCCCAGGTCCAAACCAACGGAGCTACAAGGTCTGCTGGAGAGCTCTGTGCTTAGGGGCAAGCTGCCAGCCTCCACTACACCAGGCAAGCCTGGCTCAGCCGCCTGTCCTGCACCCTGCCCACCCGTGCCCCCATCCCCTGGGCTTGTCTGCTCACATGGAGAGAGGCCACTACCACCCCACAGCTCCAGCCTGGGCTTCTTTGCCCCCTGGGTGCTCTGTCTGCAGAGCTGGCGTTTCCTGGAGGCAGGCAGTGCTTGTGGAAGGTGGCTGGCAGGCCCAAGCACTTGCTGTCCATGAGGTTCAGACGAGGAAGCCGTTGTCTCTCTGACATGAGGGTCCTCTATGCAAGCCCTCCAGCTCAGGTCAGAAGCCAAGCCCAAATCTGTATCCCCTAGCACAACCTCCTCCAGGGTGCCATGAGCAGCACAGACCCTTCTGGCGAGCCCTGCTCCAACAGAGCAGGTCTTGAACTCCCCTCCTTCACTGGGGTTACTGAGCCTGTCCCTGGGCAGACAAGGAGAACCTCCCTTGGTCTTCAGGCTGTGATCATGCTCTGTATCAATGAACAGCTCCTGCTCAGGCTGCTCCCTTTCCTTTCCCAGCTCTGCTGTCAGCATCTCCATTTCTCCAGTAACTTGTGCTTGAGGCACTAAGCGTTCATCTGTCAGGCAGGACCGAAGCACCCTGAGAAGAACCATCAGTTAATGCTCACTCTCCCTAGGCCTAGAACACCCTCCCCTGGGGAGAGGAGGCTTTTTCTGCATTGCAGCATGTTGGAAGCCCTCGCTCAGGAGGCACTAAGAAATCATAGCCTGGTGAGGCTCAGCAGTGACACTGCTGCTGGCAGAGATGGGCAGCACAAGGGGGCTCTCAGCCTTCTCACCACCCCAGGGGCTGGGCACAGGAGTGCTACAGAGCAGTGGGGTTTGCATCTGACACAGGGACAGAAGAAATGGGCTCAGCTGCCCTTGCTAGTTTAAAAGGCACTAGAAGGCCATGGGAGCTCCCTGAAGCCGCAGGGTATCTCCCATGGCTCATCCAAACTCGGCCTGGCAGGTGCCAGGTTGGTCCCTGCAGTCAGCAACCACTCTCCCTGGTGGCTGATTCCCTAGTGGCTGATTCCCTGGCACAGGACATGAGTTAGGGACCAGTTCCACAGCAGCATGGAGGCTCAGGCCCCGTTCCTGTGAGCGTGCCAAGCTGCACCACGCTGCCTTCCAGCTCCAGAGTTCCCAGATTCATACAGACTTACTTGGCTGAGTGCTCCACAAAGCTGCAGCTGAGCTGCGCGATGACACGGTCCACTGGGGTGTACTGCGAGGGGTCCAGAGCAAAGCGCTTGTGCTGGGGGCTCTGGAGATGCTGGAAGGTAGAAGAGACCCTTAGCCATTCCCAGGAGAGAAACGTGCTGTAACAGCCACTTCCCGCAGCCTTTCCACCAGATAGAGCCATTTGGAAGCAAATTTGGGAAACCCAGGCAATGCTATTACCCCTGCTTGCTTACAGGGAGTATTCTGTTCCCCCATAGACACCTGGTGATGAGGAGGTTGTGTCTGTATCTAACAGCAGCCTATAGCTTTCCCTAGCAGCTAGTGCAAATGCAGGCTCCAAGTACGTACTGTCTATCACCAAAGGCTGGGCTCTGAAAGCCACAGCTACCTTCCAGGAGATAAAAAAACCCTCTTCCCACCTTTTCAACCAGCCCATGCCCCCTGACTGCCATGGAATAGGGTTCCCACCTTACAGGTGAGGCAATGGGATGGTCCTTGAGACTCTCCTCCTCATGCGTGCTACAATACTCCCATTGTTTGCCCAGAGCAGGAAGTCAGAGCACAGATACACTATGGCTTTCATCTATAAGGCTGATCCTCCTAGATCAGCCATAAGGGCTGTGCATACACAGAGCCTGTCTTCCTTCCAAAAGGGATCATGGTGATAATGGGCATGACACAATTCATGAAGCTGCTGAGTGGGCCCCTTAACTTTTTCGGGGAACCAGGTCCCAGGGGAACCTTTACCTTCTGTAGCTCCTCAAAGGTCTCTTGGCAGCACTCACAGAATCCCCTCTTTTTCTTTGGCGCAGTGACTGGTGTGGACTGGGGGCTCTTCTCCCCCTTGCTGCCTATTGGACAGGCTTCCACAGCCCTGCAAGGTAACAGCAAAGATCTTCCCTGCCCTCACTGACAGCCTCAGCAGGCACCCAATACTGCCTCTGAGCTACAGCTCGAACCACAGCTTCCAGCCACCAGGAACAGGGCTCCTTTTGTCCACATCCAGAAGGCAAGTGGGTCTCTGGATGCCAGGAACCAGCAGGGCAGCAGTCACCAGGAGAGCTGGGTTAAAAACTAGCACAAAAGGAGCTACAACATACCTGGCTCTGCAAGAACTGGAGAGGCTTCTCAGAGGCTCAAATGGGCTGGAGCTTTTGGGTGCCAGGAAGTTCAGGTCAGGAAAGCTTTTGAACTGGTGATGGAAGGGCCGGAATTGCCTAAAACCAGCAGATCAAGACATCAGACTCCTGGCAGTGCTAGCCTGGTTAGAGCTGTCCTCCCTCAGAGGGGCTCAAGGTGCTGCCCCATGCATGCTGAGACACTGCCCATTGCTGTACTTTCACTTGGCTGTTCCAGAGATTTCCCACTCCTCACTGGAAGTACTAAACCTGATCCCCAGTAACAGCACTGATGGGGGCATCTTTTGGACAGGGGGTGGGCTTGCCTGCTCACCTACAAACCCACCTTTACCTCCAAGGCACATCAGCAGCAGGCAGCGCTTCCAGCTACACAGCAGCATGGAAAGGCTTTGGTTCTCAACCCACATCACCCTCTTCATGCTTTGTTGCATGCAGCACGTAAAACCTAATATTTGACACTGCAGCTGCCTTAAATGTTGCCTTCAGAATAATTCATTGGCAGTCAGGATACCGTTAGAGTTACAGAGTTGTTGGGAACACCACATAGATCAGATCCCCTTGTGCTGAATGCTGTAATCAAGTTACAGCCCCGACCTCGTGTTTCAAACTCCTTCATTTCAGAGAGCTCCAGCAGGTTAAGTGACCTGCTGAGGATCACAAATGGAATCTGAGCAAGGAAGCAAACTGTTGTCAAGTCTCGTTTAACACCTTCCCCCCCCCGACACATGAGCCACCCAGATTGTTTCTCTAAACTCTATTTGCCTCCCTCTAGGAGAGGGTCAACTTCCCAGTGCGCAACAGGGTCTTCGAGGTAGCCAATGCTCTGCCTGCTTGGAAGAATATTCACTGCAAATAAAACCAGTAAAGGATTCCCTCCTGGAGCTCCTGAGGCTTTAAGGTGGGATATTTAGAAAGACCTCATTTACCTGCTCTGGTCTTCAACCTTCAGAAAAGGGGGCTTCAATTTTCCTGTTAGAAAGCGAGCTGGTTAGAAGTTGCTCTGGCCAAATTCCCTACTCATTCATTCATTCATTCATTCCCCAACAAAACTGGGCTGCAGAGCCAAGCTCACCGGTACTTCTGCCATTGTGAATGCCAAGTGATGGCTAAAGCACAGCCAAAACAGCCTTTGAGGTAATCTACAGCAGCCCTCACCTCTAGAGTTCTCAGTAGGGTGATGAAACTCCAGAGGCAGCCCAACTGTGGGCTGTTTCCAATTTAAAAGAACACCCTGCTAAGTTCCTTGCATCTTTCATGTCTCCCCAGTCTTATCAGCGAGTGGCCTCACCCCAAGCCTCTAACTCTGGCTTGAATTCTAAAACCTGCCATGCATCCTCAATGTAAAACATGCCACCAAGCATGAGACACGAGTTTATGAGAACCATACTGCAGCAGCAGTTGCACAAGCCCAGAGCTCTGCATCAACCCTTCCCTATTTACATTTACACAACAGCCTGGAGTTCAGAACAGCTCAGGCCAGGGCAGTTAAGTCAAAGCAGTAAGAGCTGCTGGAGACAAATCAACATGCTGCATAGCCAAGCCTGGCATGAGAACACTGCTAAAGGGCAATATCTGGCCTCTGCTTGGTCCCTGAGGAGGGTGAACAGCAGCTATGCTTCCTAGAGAGGCATAAGATATATTAAGGGAGCAGAAGAAAGCCTCAGCAGTGCATTCAGGGAAAAGGCTTTCAGGGCCAGGCTGGGAGAAGAAGCTACCAGTTCTCCTTCACAGGTTATGTTCAACTCAAAAGTGATAACATGACACTCGGCCTGGAAATCCGAGTACAGACCTGGTTAAGAACCAAACACACACCAAGGTATTCCCACAGGGCATCTGCCTGACCCTGAAACCAAGCCTCTCGTGCCTGCCTTATGCCTCTGAAGGGCGAGGTGTCTTGTTTTCCTGTGAGCCTGGCACTCAGTGCTATTTTCTCCAACGAAATGTGAAGCTCACCCTCCAGAAAGGCTGAGTCCCCCTGCCCTCACCACTTAGTTCCTCGAGCCTCCACCTGAGCTCGCATCAAATGTGCTGTTATGTCACTAAAGTAGCTATTTAAGTGCAGGATCAATTTTTCCATGTAAATGCTGCCAAATGCTTAGCACTTCTGAGAGCAAGGCCCCATTTAGGGCCCTAGATGCAACTCAGAGTGGTGTGAGGGTCCTGAGCTCATGGCAGAGTGCTGAACGGTGACAAACAGCTCAGCTGTCACCACAAGTCCCCACATGGGGTTTGGAGTGTGCCACAGACAATCTGCCTTCATCCAACAGCTCTTCAAGCCTTTTTTTACCACCTTTCCCCTTCCTAACCTGGAAAATAATCTTCCAAGTGTGACAAACACAATCCTGGTTGGAGCCTGCTCTGAGATATTACTGACTGTTCACTCTCTAATGAGTGAAGTCAAACAAGTCACCAAGTAACTTACCCTACTGGTGCCAACCTCAGAACCACAACTGGCTCTCTTGTCTAATTGCAGATGAGAACCTGTTTTTCCCCCCTTTCCCTCCTCCTTTGGAAGTGTTATCCCTAGACTGGTGTCTCAGCAGTATGTTTCAGCCTAACAGAAGTGAGTGGGATGCGAGGAACATGCTCTCCTCTGTAGGATGCATTATTCTTTGAAACATCATTTGAGCCAGTGGGTTCATGTGGAGTGCCAGCAGCAGAGCTCTCAGGTGTCTTGGGATTCTGGGAGCAAATGGTTTACGGCATTTTAAAAGCACTCCCTGAAATAAAAGGCTTGCACATCCTTATACATCCTCAGCTGTATAAGGATGCTGCAGCTAGACTCAGAGAAGGAACTGCAAAACCCATTCAAGAGAAACTGCCTTAACAGTTTGGCGTATTTTGGATTACTGAAGCTTCAGATGGATTTTCAAATTCCAAGAGAGGCTTCTTCAAGCAGCTCTGCATCCGAGTGTAAACTGGAACACAACTTCCATGCCTACCTTTGCACGTTTTCAATCCGGTTGCAAGGCATTTCACCTGAAGGAGAGATTGAGATATTTAGCATGGGAGCCAGCACAGGCAGAACTGCAGCCACTGACCCCAGAGCAGCAAAGTGCGATTACAGGAGTCTCACCCACCAGTTCAGAGGCCCTGCATCAGAGACTGTATCGCCTTCCCCTGATATTTTGCCTCCCAAGTTACCTAGATTTAGTTTAGATACAATACACAGGCTGCCACTCTGATCTTAATGCTCTACCTTCTCCTTGACCTCTCCAGCACATTAAAAAGTGGTTCAGAAAGCTTCAGAAAGCCAGTGTACCAGCCACATATGAGCTTTGTTTTACCCCTAGCCCCTTATATAAGTCAAAATGAGCATTTGCTGTGCTACACATGATGTTGATAACCCATGGCTGCCTCATTCTTATCTGGTTTCACCCCCACTTTTGCAATCTCCATCAATAAACAGAAGCATCAGATTGCCTAGTGTTGGATGAAGAACTAGGAGATGACCCTGCTTTCTAGCCTGTCAGCACTAGAGGAGCTAGGAGAATTGCTTAGAGCTACCAAGGGATCCAGAGTACCTCAAACTGGCTGGAGTTGTCAGTTACCTCTGTCTTCTGGCACTGCTTCCTTGCCTCGGAGACCACACGCAGCAGCTGTTGAGTGTATGACAACATATCTGTGCAGGTGAGATGTCAAAGAACCATAGCTCAACCAGAGAAGCTTGTTCCCCTTCTGACTGCAGCCCAAGTTTAACTCCTGATCCACACCAGGCAAAAGCACACAGCTCCTGAACCAGTCATCACCTGGCAGCATCACCACCACATGGTTCATCTGCCCAAGGAGCAGCCAAAGAGGAGTGCTCTCAGGGATGGCATCCTGGTTTGCTCTTTAGCAGAGCTGGAGGCTGGCTTTAAGCCCCTGTGGACTTGAGGCACTGTTAGGAGTTGTGCAGCACACAGATCAGACCCTGACATTTGCAGCACCACTGTGGTTCAGTAGAGCTGGCTGCTCAGGAATATACAAGCAGTGGCTGCCTCCATCACACACCCAGACAGGCTCAGCCACAGCAGTATGTCACTGTCATTAGACACTCAGGAACCTTTTACTCTAGGCCTATTATTAGAATCAGAGTTTTACCATCTGTCTTTCCCATCACCCCCTCCCCATTCATCACCGAGATGGGAAGTGCCTTCTAGCACAGAACCAGGAACATTAGCACTTCCTAATTAAAAATGACCAAATCCTGCCATTAGCATGATCTGTACTTCCAGGTCAATTAGTAACAGTGGTCTTTTTGGAACAAATTAATGCACTGACCAAGCCATTAACATTTTCTAATACTACAGCTTCAGTATATTACAGCATTGGCTATTGTAAACGTGATGGTAGCATAGAATGAATCATAGAATGGCTTGGGTTGGAAAGGACCTTAAGATCAATGCACTGCCATGGGCTGGGACACCTTCCACTAGACCATGAGCATGCTCTATACACGTAAGTTCATTTGGTTTTTGGAGGGCAGACCTAGGCCGCCATGGTCAGGATGGCATCAGTCACGTACCAGATATTGCTTGCAATTCCTTCTGTACCACACTCCCTACATCACTTCTGCTCCACCTGCCTCCAAAATCACTCATTATACCAGCAGCTAATTTCAGCCTGCAGAGAAGGATACCATCCACGTGCAGGATCTGGACTCCCCACAGGCGAGCGCTGGCGAGGATACTGCTGCCACTGCAGGTGTCCTGTACAGAGAGGTTTGGCAAGGTACAGTTCAAAGCAGAGATGCCTGTGGGAGCACAAGCAGCTCTAAATCTACTTTAGAGATTTTCCTGTTGCCCAATTGACAGACCATTGTGTAGCTGTTATTAAAAATCAGCAGAAAAGGTTCAAACTCATGCTTTATCTATCCCAAATTAATAGTAGCACCTAAGTCAAATTTTTAATCCCTGCTATAACATGAGCTTCCAAGTGAGCACCAAGATTCATGATTTCAGTGAAAGGACCTCAGGGAGCCTTTTGCCCCAGCTATATGGCTTTAGCTCTTTCTAGGCTAAAAAGTCATCAGATAATGGGTCTTGTATTAACCATTCTCTTGTATGGAGCACCCAGATCACTGGGACAGGCTTTAGAAGTACTAACATGGACGGAAGACATGGCTCTGTGGAGAACAGCAACCAGGAGCACTGCACAATATTCTGCAGGCCACAAGGAACTGCTTTGTACCTCTACCAGCCCCAGAATCTGCTCCCTTCAATAGGGCAGGGGCTCTGGAGAAGTGGCTGGCACTGGTTCTGCACTGCTCAGCAGCACTTTGAACCTACTCAGCTAAAGCCCATCCACACACAGCTCACCTGATTCTTCATGGCCTTCTGCAGCAGTTCCTTTCCCCTGCTGATCAGGACCTACAGGGAAAGAAGCCAAGTACTGTGTTAAAGCAAAGACCTACCAGGCAGCAGTAAGCCGAGGGCAGTGCGGCTGTCCAGCAGGAATGATTTCTAGTGATACCTGCCCTCTGCTAAGGAGAGTCTGGCCAAGACTTTATCTCAAAGGCAGCAGGACTCAGCATTTCCAGGGAGCACAAACAGCAGAGGCACCTCTTAGGTCTACACCAAACAGCCATTGACTGAACAGCAGTGAGTACTCCAGAGCCAGCCAAGAGGAAGCAGCAGCTTAGCCTGGAATGCCAGCCACATCCTAGTGTGCTGGCAGGGGTTAGGAGCAGCCTTGCTAGCCCTTCCTGGGAACCAAGTCTTATTTACAAGCCAATGATTTCAGCATGCAGGTTAAGTTCTTTGTAAGACAAGTGGGTTGTGCTGTGAGCAAGGACAAGGGAACAAACACTTTGAGGGAGTGAAAGCCAACATCAGCTCAGGCTTCCCACCTGCACGTGGTCCAGGTCCAGCTGACAGATGCCCACGACCTAGACTGGGGTAGCAGGCTCTCCTCACAGTCACAGCTTGCAGCAGATACCAGTGGTCAGCACAGGACGTTTGAGCTTTGGCCACAAGCACTAACAACCAGAAAGCCCAGAACAGGACCCAGGAGAAATCCCCTGTTGCAGACCTCCCAGCTTACAACAGCCTTGTCCTACCTGTGTCTGTGAGCATGCACCAGACCCCGCGACAGTTTTAGCTTGTCTACATGTTCCTGGCTTTTCCAGACACACGTCTGCATCAGGATGATTGCATATGCTGGTGGGAAGGCAGCCAAGCCCTCTATTTCCTCTGCCATTTGAGCAGATACCCTTGTTTATTAGCTCACAGCTGTGATGTGCACATTTGAGCTGACAACGATGTGCAGATACAAGGAACATGGGTACGAATACGAATCATCAGACCAGGGGGAGAAAAAAAACCACAACCCAAACTAAAGACCCAACACAGTTGCTCAGAGCAGGAACAACTTTATATTCCAACACTGGTCTCAGGTTCTACCCCTTCCATCTCTCGCGCTAAACTCTGACGTTGCCTAAACCTTCATAGACACTTCTATACACTTTATAGACACTTATAGGTCTTACAGTGTCTGAGGGCTTCTGGTGAGGTCTGGGATGGTTCCCTTTGGAGGAAGAAGGCACTGGGCCCGTGGCTTTTGCATCTTCTGAAGCTTCGTTGCTGGGCTTCTCAGGCCGAGTTCTGGCTCTGCCTCGTTTGGCTTCTTTGTTGCTGGAAACCACGTAGCTGACTTCTTTGCTAAGGAAGCTTTCGGTCACCTGCAGCAAGAGACAGAACAGAGCAGCTCTGAGACTGTCCAACTCCAAGCTGCAAGAGACCTGCTAAACAAGAGCTGTCCCCTTTAGCTTAACCCCACACACCGCTCAGGGGCTGCTGAAAGTACCCATCTCTATAAGGAGCTGCTTTTCCCATTCTTTGATGCCGTCTCCCAGAAGGAGAGGAGACCCTCAGAGAGCACATGTGCAAACCATCAGCAGAACCTTCCGATTGAGCCCGTCCCCCACTCTCTGCTCCTCAAGCAATGGTTTCAGAGGAAAAGCTGAGGAAAAGGCCCTGACATCACACACGAGCGGGCAGAGCTCTGTTCTCAGGAGCACATCCACTGCCATTAGCCATTCTCTTCTCAGGAGAGCAGGACACGGTAGGAAGGGAATTGCTGAGACAAGCAGCTCCACATAGAACAGGGCGATAGGGAATGAGGAAGCCGAAACACAGAGAAGCCTTTGCACAGGAGCCAGAAGCTGGAGGAAGATGTGGAAACACAAGGCTTGGGATACTCACAATGCACTGACCCCACTGCAGCCCCATGCCACAGGACCCCGGTTAGCACCTATTGGGAGATGCTCCCACAGCACACAGCCAGCTCCCAGCTTGTGTCCCACAGCCCACGAGGCCGTAACCACTGCCTGGACGGTGCTCCCATCGCCACACGACCAGTTAGCACCTACTGGAAAGCACCCCCATCGCTGCACAACCGGTTACCAACGCCTGGCTGCTGCCCCACGGTCAGGCACACCGCTGGCATCTATCAGAAGGTGCTCCCTCGGCCAGGCACCCCGTTACCCCCGTCTGAACCATGGCCCAGGCAGCTCCCCCGCCCCTCAGGCCCAGACCACCCGGGGAAGGCAGGAGCCGGGCCCAGGAGGAGCCAGCGGGGCGCAGAGAGGGCCGAGGGCGCGCCGGGACCGGAGCCGGGAGCCCACGTTCCAACCCCAACCCCACCGCCGGGCCCACCGCCGCCTCACCCCGCCGAGGCGCCTGATGGCCACGGCCAGCTCCCGGGCAGCGCGCCCGCTCGGCAGGTCCAGGTAGAAGGACTTCCCGCGGAGGGGCCGGGGCGCCCCGGGACCCGCCATGGTGCCTGGCCCGGGACCCGCCGCCGCCGTTTAAACTCGGGCCCGCCCCGTTCCCAACGGCGGCCGCACAGGGATAACGCCGCGGAGCTGCAACGCCATAGGTTTGTCCTGCGCGGCCGCCGTCCCGCATGCGCGGTGGTGGTGGTGGCGCTGGTCCAAGATGGCGGCGCCCGGTAGGGAGGAGGCGGCGGCGACGGGGGGGTTCGCGGCCTGGCTGGCGGCGCGGCTGGAGGCGCTGGGCCTCGACCGGGCTGTGTACGGTGCCTACATCCAGGGGCTGCTCCGAGAGGAGGAGAGCGACGAGGAGCGGCTGGAGGCGCTGCGCGGGGTCCTGGCCGCCTGCCTGGTGAGCGGCGGGACGGGACGGGACGGGGGGTTCCGCTCACCCCGGAGCGAGGGGCCGGGTCCCCTCGAGGAGTTGAGGGGCAGCCGCGGCCTCGCCGTGCCCGGGGAGGTCTGGTGCGGAGAACCGAGGAGACAGGCGGGCATCGCCCCCTTGAAGCCTGGGGATTTCTCCTCGGTCTTCATCTCCTTTGGGAGCTGTAAGGTTTCCACAGTGTCTTTATCTCAAGGTGTTTCTTGTACCTGAGCCGAGCAGATAAGGCATCATCCAGGATCTGCTTTTGTTGAAGGCATGCTGACTTCTTAAGATAGATCCTAAGGTTGGGAATCACAAGCCCTTGGTCCTTCTACTGTTCCTGTGCCTCTCACAGCCTCAAATACCCCGCATTGGTCCTTGTAGCATCTCCTCCCCAGCCTGGGCACCTTCTCCTGGTGGGTGTTCAGCCCTGAGCTGTGCTTAAATGCTGTAGGCTTGGGGCCTTGCACATATTGGAGCAAAAGGTGGAGACTTTTGTGTCTGCTTTCATCTCCTTGTCTGGCCTCCAGTTGTGGAGAACTCTGTTGTTGCTGTCCCCTATGCAGGTGAGCTTTGCTCTGCTCAATGGGCAGTGTCCTCGGTGATGGTTTGTCCTGGAACTTGAAGGTGGTTTTTCAGGTCTTCCTCAGTGGTGAACAACTGTGAAGGCACCCACTGCCCCCTCTAGAACGTGCTCCGGGCAGGCCCAAGGTTGTCCCTGCTGGTGGGAGGGGATGGTCTGTCAGTACAACCAGAGCAGTTTCAGCTCCGTACCCCTGTTTTATCCAGTCCAGTTTATTTGCCTTAGTGAGATTGGTTTGGAGTGGCCTTTGAGTAGCTTCTCTGCAGCCTTGCTCAGAAGAGGGACGATGCTGGGCAGTGCATTTCTAGAGTGGAGACACCCTGATGGCCTTTCCTTGGTGTCTGTGGGGCTGTTACACCTTGAGAGCCAGTGCTAGGAAACCAATGGGTGTTGTTAGAGCTGTATCATGGGACAAGGAGCTCACTGGGGGTGTGTGTACCATGTCAGGGTGCTCTCTAGTCCTGAGCTGTTTAAAATAAGTAAGTGCATGGCATTACTTGTGTCGTCCCAGGTTAACCCAAGCCCTGTGTCTGCATTTAACAAGGAGATGGTATGTGAAAAGCTGTGATTTGAGCTTACTGCAGGGCGTTCAGGTTCTTTGCAGCCGGTACTTTTCATACCTGGCTCATGCTTGTTTAAAGCTTTGTTCCAAGCCTGAGAAGTCTCTTTTCCCTCCCTAGGAAGAAGATCTCTTACATGATGCTTGCAGGGAAGTGGTGGAGAAGTGGTCTGAATCTCAGGTTGTTGATGCCACAGAGAAAAAAGCAGGTAGTATCGCTGCTCAGTGTGCCCTTCCTCGTGGTGTGAGTGCTTTGCAGGGCCTTGCCAAGATGAGAACTGTGTGCTCGTCCTGCCAGGAGTTAAAACCACTGCTGCTACCGTGTGTGCTTTGCTTCTCATTGTCATTACTGCTTATTTACTGTTTTGACTTGAACTGGGAAATGAGTAGTTTCACTTGTGGCTGTCTCTGGCATCCTGCTGCTCTTTGAGTTCAGAATCCTGCACATGAAAAGCTCCTTGTTGCGTTTTTGTTTTTTTGTTTTTTTTTTTTAATTCCCGTAGAACTTTTTCAGTTTCCCTTCATAAAACAGCCAGGGCTTTCCCTCTGGTCAGTGCTCACTGCACTCTGCTGGGAGCTGCAGTTGTGATGGTGTATAAAGCCTGGGCTGCTTCAGTCTGTGGCAGTTTGGAGAGCCAGTGGCTTTATCCACATGCACCCATGGAGAGCTGGGCTGTCCCCTCTGCTGCTGCTCACCCCAGTACACATCAGGACATCTCCTCTTTCACAATCTTCTAAATCCCCCATAAATGCTTGTGGGGGATGCTCTGTGAGGCTGCTGTTGCTGTACTAATGCTGCTCCTCTCCCAGTCACATCTATAGCCCCACTGTTTCTTTGTGCCCTCTCTGAATCCATCTTTTGACTTCAGCTGTCGGCTCAGGAGTGAAGGAAGGTCATCATGGGAGGCTTGTTCTGGTCAGTGGGCAGAGCTCTGGAGTACAATAAACTCATATGCTGGCAAGATTTAGCTGATTTAAGCACGCTGCATGGATCAGTTAGTAATCCTCCAACTGCCCGTAGCCTGTGACCGTGTCGCATCCCTTCTGGCTAAATCCTGCTTTTTGTTTGCTTTGCATTTTTTGGTTGGTTCTGGTTGCAAGCAGAATATTGTCACTGACTGATGTCCTTCTAGAGGAGTGCTCCCAGTGAGCCCTTATCATGGAATCCCAGAATCTAACAGGCTGGAAAAGACCTTTAAGATCATCAAGTCCAGTTGTTCCCCAGCACTGCCAAGGCCACCACTAACCCGTGGCACTGAGGGCCTCATGTACATGCTGTGAACTCTTCCAGGGATGGTGACTGCAGCCCTGCCCTGGGCAACCTGTTCCAATGCCTGAGCACCCTTTGGGGAGGGAATTGTTCCTCAGCTCCATCTAAACCTGCCCTGGTGCAGCTTGAGCCTGTTTCCTCTTGTCCCATCCCTTGTTCCTTGGGAGCAGAGCCCAGCCCCTCCTGGCTCCATCCTCCTGTCAGGCACTTGTAGGCAGCGATCAGGTCCCCCTGAGCCTTCTCCAGCCTAAACCCCCCAGGTCCCTCAGCCGCTCCCCATCACACTCCAGGTCCTTCACCAGCTTCATGAGGCCTGTGTTTCTATAGCACTTGTCTAAACCTCAGTGTTTCACCAGTCTCGCTCAACTCCTCTGTATAGACAAGGCAGCTGAACCACACATGCAGCAGTCTGTCCTTGGCCTGACCTTGCCTTTTGCCTGGGGACAGGGACAAGTTACACCGTTCTGTGCATTCAATAAAGCCCTCTTTTGGGGACAAGTGATTGGAATTGCTAGAGCTCCTGCTGGACTCCTCCTGCTTATACTATAGGTTACCTGCAGGGCTGGTTTTTTACTTGTCGCAGGAAGAAGGCAGCAGTGTGTGTCTACCTTGTTAGAAGTGCAAGGATTTAATTATTTCACTGTGGTTCCATGAAAGGATAAATCCCCAATGGAGTCAATATCTACTTAGAATAACAGAATCCTGAGGAGAAGCTATTAACAAGCTGAACACTTCAGTGGTAGAAGGTAGCTATGTGCGCACGTGGCACATCGTGCCGTGTCTGATGCTCTGACTCCTTGCCAGATGAGATCCAAGCCATCGCCAGCATGATGGAGAAGCAGGCCAAGATTGTGGTGAAGCCCAAAGAGGTCTCCCAGGAGGAGAAGCAAAGGAAAGCTGCTCTCCTGGCCCAGTATGCCAATGTGACAGATGAGGAGGAATATCCTTTTCCTGACCCAGCTGAGACTCGGTGCGTTGAAGGATAATGGTTATTAGAGATTTCCTAAAGGAAAACAGTCTTTATTGGGAAAATTGGGGAAACTTTTCAATCTTCCTTCTCCATGATAAAATAACTTCCATGGAGAAAAGCAAGGAAGCTCCTTGTTTGTGGAGTGCTGTGAGCAGATGCTCCTTTGAGGATGCTTGTCTGGGTAAGGTTCCTCCAGTCCAGGTATGTTGCAGAAGAGGGGGGAATCGCCTCCTGGTAACTCTGTACATGGTAGTTAATGAATTGAATTAATCTATTGCTTTGTAATGAGAAATCTGCTGAAAAAATCCTTTTTAGAGTGGTATAAAGTGGGAGAGTTTAAAGTTCACTTGTAATGCTGAAGAACAAGTTCTTCCTTACAGAGCGAAGTTGAATAGGAAACGGGAAGGAATGGTACCTGGTGCTTGAGCAGCAGGAGGGAGCTGAACATGTGGGGTCTGTGTCTGTGAGTGTTCAGCTGCTTCCTTGTGACTTGACAGAAGGGTTATTTGGCATGTTTGGAGTCAAGTGTGACTGTCCAGAGGCACAAGGTCATTACTGATGTCCATATTTCCTTAATCATCTCACTGGTGAGGATGAACAGGACGGATCGACTGCGACAGCAGTAAACCTGGGGTCAGAAAAATGTATCCTTTGAATTCTGGGTGACCCAGGCTTTATGGAAGGAAGGCAGCTTGCATGGTGAGTTCCCATTTCCCATCTTTCCTTATCCCTATTGATTCTCCCCATTGCTTTAGGGCCACCTTCTAAGTCTGGGGATTATTTTTCTTCTCATGTAGCCTGACCTTGCTCATAATGAGAGTTAGAGTTTCACGTGTGCCCTCTGCACAGCCAAGACTGGCCCTGTCAGTCTCTTTCTCTCCTCTGTCCCTGCCTTCCCTCTTCTGCCCTCTTTGAAGCTTCACAGAACATGCTTATGAGTAAGAATAATTCTCCTATGAACATGAGCTTAATGTTAGCTGATGTCCAGAGAGGGAAGTCACATTGGGAATTACTAGAAGTGCATCAGAAACAAAACTACATACCGGTTTTAAGAATCTGTAGTGACTTGATTTTTCTACTAACAAATCCTTTCCTAGGCAGTGTGCATTGACTCTGCATGACTTTCCTATTTGGAAAAGAAGAATAGGTTGGATGGGGTTTGGAGCAAGCTGCTCTAGTGGAGGGTGACCCTGCCTGTGGCAGGGGGTTGGAGCTGGATGACCTCTAAGCTCCCTTCCAACCCAAACCAGCCTGGGATTCTATGAAAAACAAGCAGATTCCTTTTTCCTTCTCTGTTCCTCA